CTATACTATAGACATATTTATATATATATAAAAATCAATCTGGGTTTTCCAGCCTCTACCATTTCTTCCAAGCACTGCCATGTCTTGTCAAGTATGCTGGCATACTGCATAACACTGAAGCGAGAGGAATTTCCGATTTTTCGCCAAATGATAGGATAAAAAAATTGCACACGGACACAACATAAGAAGTTGTTACTTACTTGGCCCTTTCCATGGCTCAAATGCAAGGTATATTCTTTCAGTTACACTCACAAATCCATGACAGCTCCAAGTTTGCTAGGTGCCTCACCAAAACACTCCTTCTCTGACTTGCTGCCCTCCCAGCCTAATTAGGCATACTCCTACCAGGAAAGGTGAAGTAAATCTTAAGAAGAAAATTTACAAATGAATGGTTGCTGCATCAAGACAGACTTTCACATCTGCAACAGTCATCTGGCAGAAGTGATACTTGACAGCTGTACCAATTACATTTTTGTTACAACTTTTGCATATATTGAAAGTGGGTCAATATTTCTTGGAAGGAAAACAAACAGAATTGTGGCTTTGGCTAGCTTATCTATTCCAGTAGCATTGTCACGATGTACATTCTTTGCACTGTCGCCATAAATTAGCTAAAAGGAAGAAGAAAAAAGCTTTGTAGTCAGCTTTGCCCTATTACCACTCATCTTCAGGACTAGGAGGTTCATCATACAGAGAATTAATATCCTCCTCATTGGTTTAGCTTTTGCGAATGCCTAATCTTAGTTGTCTTTGTCCGTTTTTAGTTGCATCTGTAAATGGCTGAGTGTTGCTAGCATTTATAAGCATTTGCAAAAGCCAGGAATTCAATTCTTTTTTCCAAATGCAGCTCCCTACTAATGGTTATATCTGATAAACACAAATATGAATGGAAAACATGCAGGGGAGGAATACAAGGGAAAATACACTAAAACCTACAGTGAGTGACAGGGGAACAGCAGTTAGTCGATAGCCTATGTAAAACAAGTATTATAGATTCCAGAGGTGACTACAGTTATATAAACTTCCCATTAAAAATTGCTTCTCTTCTCATACCACAGTGTTTTCACATATGTTCTTAGGATGGGCACATCATGGAAAAAGTCTAGTACAGAAACATACCTTCCCCCAATATGGTCTAGGCCTTAGAGCATTGCAAATCTCTACTGGCCTCAAAGGCTCATGTTATAATTGTAATGGAATTTAAAAGAACAAATTTTAAGAGTAATAAATAGCTCAAATAAATCTTAACCACTGCATGCTGAGAGGTCTTATCAGTATGTGTTCCTTATATCAATTATTTATAGAGACTTGGCATTTCATACCTGAAAAAAGACCCTGGAATGTGGAGTTTAATAGCCACACTAAACATTTTTGGAAGAATTCATCACACATTAGAATAACTTTCATTCCTGGAAAAATACTTTTTTTCTACATGGAATGTAAAGCATAGATCTGAGATGGTTCCAGTGACTGCAGATCTATATTGATATAGTCAACTGAGCTTCTGCTAAGCAATAGACCCAGTCTAAGGACTAATCCACTTAATGAGCCTAATTACCAGCTACACAAGACAAAGATCCATAATTTTTCCTTTCAGACATAAACGAATGTGATGCCAATAACCCATGTGCACAACAGTGTTACAATATACTGGGTTCTTTCATCTGTCAGTGTAATCCAGGATTTGAGTTAAGCAGTGACAGAATCAACTGTGAAGGTAAGCAACCTTTTTTTTTTTAAATTATTTTCCCAGAAGTCTTTCTGTGAACTAAGGGACATAATTCAAGTGGAGCCACCCTGTGGGTGCAGTTCATAGCCAAAACCCTTAAGACATTTATTTTTTTTGTTGCAAGTGTGGTTGCCAATACACACCTTAATAGCTGCAGCTGCATTCAGGTACATGTAGATATGGGTATCCCTCTTTAGTAGTAAGTGCAAAACAGGACAGACATTACCACATTTCAGACCACAGCTGGGAAGAATAAGGCTTCTAAATACTTATTTCACAAACTCACTTGAATTGTGTGTGGTCTGATGCTGATGACCATTAAATGAATCGGAAAGGAATGCAAACCAAAAACAAGTGCAATTTTGTGTGTTGTTAGGCTCCTCTGAAAATAAAACCTCCAATTTTTGATTTTGAAGAAGCAACAATTATGCTTTTGAGGTGCTTTCAAGCCTGTGTATACAAACAGCATGTCTCCTGATGATTATACAATCACCACTTTATTTCCTCTGCCAGAGTCTCCGCAGGGGTCCTCTAATCTCCTTTTGGACACATGATGATCTCACTCTTAAAGCCCATATCCTTTCTACCAGTCTTTGAGCCAAAGAGGGCTTTTTGGTTTACCACTGCCCTCCTAAACAAGCCAGCAGAGCTATTACAGATGCTCCCTCTCCAAGCTTCTTAAGCTAATCCTACTTGCAAGCAAACAGAACAGGGAGCAGCAAGTATGCAGCCTCCAAGGACATCCCTGACATAAAATCAAGAACTAGGCTCAAACCTCAGAGGCGGTACGAGGGAGTTATGCTGTTTTCCAAGCCTTTCCCTAGTTCTGATAGATTTAATTTCCAGCTAATAGCATACACTGTTAAATTCTGTTTCACGCTGCACTTCTCTAGCAAGGGATTGGTGGTTACACAAGGGTAAAAAAAGCAAAAGAGAATGGTATACACTGAGTATTATTTGAAGAGGAAAAACAAGAGGCCTTCCCCTCTTTCCCAAAGAGCTACTCCATTAGCGTAGGGCACAAGTACAAAGGCAATGTTTTTGCCTTATTAACTAATCTCACATCTGTGTTTTTGTGAAAGCAATCACATTTTGGAATACTGAAAGTATAAATTCTTTCAAGAGTTATTTTCCCAAACCTGTTCTGAAGTCTAATTTAGCTTCTGCCTCCTCAAATCCAAAATTCTCATTTGGGAAGATTATTGATAAAACAAAAGTACAACTAGCCCATCTGTTTGAAACTTTGAGGCATTAAGCAGTACATTCCAGGCTTTTGGTAACTTCTTTTTAGACAGATTTTTTTTTTTTCCTGTTAGAACCAGCATTTAGCCATTATATTTAGTTCTGTAACAAGGTAGATGTTAAAAAACAATAACTTTGAGCTCTTTTGCTCTCTGCAGACACTGATGAATGCAGAACCTCAAGTTATATATGTCAATACCAGTGTGTCAACGAACCAGGAAAATTCTCATGTGTCTGCCCTGAAGGATACCAGGTAGTAGGAGGCAGAACATGTCAAGGTAAGTGCCCTCATCTTAGCAGTCTCAATACCGCATTATTAATGACACCATTTCAGGCAAGACTAAGAACGCTTGCTATCTAAATGTTTATATTTCATGACAAGATTACCATTATGTTAGCAAAACATGCATTGAAAAAGTATTTGATGATTAATTGCATATCTTATATTAATCCTTACTTGAATCCTTCAGCTCAAACTCCAAGTCCTTCAGATTCCTAGGACAAAATGTCAGTTTTTGCAACCCTCAAGTAAAACTTGTCTTGGATCTCTAGGTACAAGTCTAAGTTTCAGAGATAAATCTCTGAAAAAAATCAGGCCTTTTTTTTTTTTTTACAGACACTAAACATGGCTTTATATCATGTTTCATTTTATAGAGATTCCTAAATCCAGCCACAGTAGAAATGAAAGATATGTTTCTTCTGATAACAGGAGAAAAAAATGCAAGATTAGAGCAGCTTAGATAATTTGTGTTTAGAAAATAAATGTTCTGGTCAGGTGCCACCAAATGCCAGAATTTTAAAGTTTGTGGGTTTTCCTCGCTGGCACTAAGTGTCTCTGCATCTTACAGAATATTGCAGAACATCATATTAAGTGCAAGAACCATTGCTTCTGTAATTCAGAACCCAATTTAAGAGTTATTATTTTTAGAAATAAATAGGTGTGCTAATTATTGTCAGAAGGGATGAGGAAATAACTCATTTTTTATTAATGTTTTTATAAGATCCAGATTAATTTCTTTTCCTTCTTAAGAACAGCAGCTGATACTGCACATTGTGGGATAGTTAGTCTGATTATCTGAAAATCTGCTCGGGCCTTCTGAGAGATGACATCTGAATAAACCCTTTCTGTGAGTGGTTTAATTTCAGGAGACCACATAGACAGACAGTAGTGGGGTTCGAGCACTGCCAGGATAATAGAGCATTAATACAGTGCAAGTCAGACAGTCCCCACCTCCATTCAGGGTTATTTTCCCAGGCAAAAAAGGAAGCTCTGCTTTGCACAACAAACAAGTTTTCATTATTCCTTTCAAAGCTATTTTAGTTAAGATGTAGCCATTAACTAAGCATTTTAGTTAGACATGAAACTCAGGCAATTAAAAATAAGAACCTGCAAAAGGCAGGCAATCACAATTCTTCCTCAAAACCTTTTTCCTCTGTCTACCAGATATCTTCTGCTATAAAATCATTCTTTGCTGATTAGAAACTTTACAGTATTTCTACAGTTGCATTACATATGATTAATGTGTATCTTTAGTCAAGTAAAAAATTTTTCCGACTTAATTAACATTCAATAAACAAATTTATTCCATTTCTGCATAGAAAAATCCTTTATAGCCAGGCCCCAGAAATGCAGGTAAACACCACAGAAACCTGTGGGTCTCAACAGAAAAGCAGGTGGCTTTTTTTCTGGTTGTTTTGAAGACATTGTATTTGTTTTTGTAGCAAACTCATTTCCATCTGCTTTAACAGAGTCCCTTCTCCTTCCTCCTAGATATAAATGAGTGTGAGACTACTAATGAATGCAGAGAGGATGAAATTTGCTGGAATTACCACGGAGGATTTCGTTGTTACCCAAGAAATCCTTGTCAAGAGCCCTATGTCCTTACATCTGAGAAGTAAGAGAAAAATCAATCTTTCTTTTTTAGAATCATCCTCAATAGGCAACATGATCAAATACAACAGAAAGCAAGTACCATTTGTTTGCAACTATCAGTTTCATCCATTTTTGTTTTTCAGCCGCTGCGTCTGCCCTGTATCAAATGCCATTTGCCGAGAGCTGCCTTACTCTGTTGTGTACAAATACATGAGCATCCGTTCAGACAGAACAGTGCCCTCCGATATCTTCCAGATTCAGGCAACCACTATTTACCCTAATACTATCAATACATTTCGGATCAAGTCTGGAAACGAAAATGGAGAATTTTACCTGAGAGTGAGTATCAGTGGGAGCCGGACCCTAAGCAGAGTATAAAAACCACTGGAGCTAACAAGGTGTTACGGTGCCTCGCCATTTTGACAAACCCATCAAATGTCCCTGTAAGAATACTGCAGCATCCCAAAGTTTATCAGTTTTTTGATACTTCCTTATTAAATGTGCTGGGTTTCTAAATTTTGAAAAGCCTTTTACTTTTCTACCTGAAAACTCTAAACCGAGAATCAAACTGTTTCTTTCAAATGAATACACCACTAGTGGTGATCATGAATATTTAGGAACCCTGGGACAGCCATGTCAGGTTCAAATGGGATACCTCTATGCTTTTCACTCTGTACCAACACCCCATATATATGTATATAGCAGAGGATTATAGAAAGATTCCTCGTACAATTACTTTAGTTTTTTGCAAAAATGAGAAATGTAAAGAAATCAATAATAGCACTCTAGAAATCAGTGCCCCATCCCAAGCTAAGTTCAGCCCAATTTACAAAGGTTTGTGTTGAGACATACTTAAACCTTTATTTTGCCATAGTGATGCAACCATTTCAGAAAATCACAAAAGTTCGAATGATTTATGATAGCAGTATTTCCTGTTAGTATAATGCATTCAAGGAGATACCCATAAATGAAAGTGTCTATGACATCTGCTTTAAGATTTTTTTGGAAGAAATCTGATTTTCTTGGACACTGGTAATATTTACAAATTCCTGGGAAATCCTTTTTCCTTCATATGTGGCTTTACACTCAGTAAAACACAATCAGCACAAAAGCTTCAATCAAATATATTCATTGGAAGGTTTTAATTTTTGTTTATTTTTCTTCAAATCTGAAGGTTATGGGGGATTTGATAGTGCACCCAAAAAGCGTACCAAGGTACGGCATTACCTGTTTACACCATGTTTCCCCAAGATGGGAACATGGAACTACTCATCTGTGTCTCACTTGTTCTGATATAACCTATAATCCAGTGCTCTTCCCTGGATTTATTACACATCAAAACCCCATACCTACACTCAAAATACAAAGAGTTATTTGCTTAAAAAAAGACCAAGATCACTCCAGCTCTAGTTCAGTTAGACCCCAATCTAGCATTCAGACTGACTTTAGACTAACAATTCCAATCTTCTGTTGCCACCCAACAAGAAATCGCAGGTCTTAAATAAGGAAGCATGTGTTTATTCCTGCCAAGGGACTGCGGTAAACAAAGGCTTACTTAGAAGTGATTCCTATTGTTTTCGTAAAACCGAGCTGTGTCTCAGATACAGCAGATGGATTGGATTCAGCTGTATACCCTAGTCATTGACATGGCGAGAAAGTATTTGTAGTAGGTGAAGGGAGAGATGGAGTTTACCCTTTTATGATCATCTGTAAATCACGAAGCCGTTTAACACACTAGCAGCATGCCACGGACAAGGCCTGTCACTGTTCCCCAGCAGCACAATCCCAGACTGGGAAAAGAGCTTCAGAGCAGTACAAGATGGGGATGGCCATAGGCACATCTGTTGCAAAAATTCCCCAGTGTTTACAAGGGGAGCACGACTTCTTCTGGAGTATGAGCCAAAAGATAGACGTAGAGTTTCCCTCCACTGAACAAGCTACATCACTGTTAAAGACATTAGGTCTCTTGTTTTACTTATTCTCTATATATTTTAAAAGCTGATAGATGGGGATAAAAACAAAGACCATCCTGGGATAGATTACCACTTTTCATGTCCTTTAGGAGAGTCAGCATAACCAGAAACAGATCTTGCAGTGCAGTTTATTCCTCTGAGCCCTAGTCAGGTAAAGTTTTCCCTGCAGCAGAGCCAGGTGTGAGATTAGTCATGGCCATTTAAAAATGTTAAAAGAATACTTGCATTGTGTATCTCCATGCTGAGTCAGAGCATTTTTTATAGTGTAGTAACACACAAGCACTCTCTTGACACAACTAGGGAATCATTTTAGATTTGACTGAACTTTTTTTTTTTCTTGTTCTTTCAGCAAACAAGTGCCGTAAGTGCAATGCTTGTACTGGTGAAATCACTATCGGGACCAAGAGAACACATTGTGGATCTGGAGATGCTAACAGTCAACAGTTTGAATTATCGTACAAGCTCGGTGCTAAGATTAACAATAATAGTGGGACCTTACGCATTTTAGTGGTTTTCAATAACCTTTCACTGGCACTTAAAGCAGCCAAAGAATATTATCTTAAAGAAAGCACTTACTATTTTATTTATAGATTTTGCTCTCTTTTTTAAAAAAATTTGTTTAGTAAATTGATATCTTTAATCCACACATTACACCTGTAATTCCAAATTAGTAGATGTGTTCCATAATATAACATGGGCATTGTCACTTTCTGTATAAAGATTTAAATCTTTTTTATTACCTTTCTTGGACTAGATACATACTATGCTTTTGTATGAGAACTGTATGTTCATACTATCCTGTAAAACTTCACACACCCTTCCTAGCCAAATAGGTCATGCAATTGAAAAGTGATCTTCTGTGTTGTTTTTATTTTAAATTCTAATGCAGCTACACTGACAATCTCAAAAAAAAATTATATAGTATGAATGATACACAAAGTAACGGTTATCTGATAAGCTAAAATATATTTCTTCTTTTTAACTACTTTGTAACAAAAAGATAACAGTCAATAAAAATCTATTTCTGTAGACATTTATGCGCTATCACAGTTGGTTTTTCTAATCTGGGTTGGAGGTAAAGTTACATTGTGAGAAATGTTTCGCATTGGGTTTTTATATGCAGATTGTGTTAACCATACCATGGAATAACATTCTGCTCTCTCCAAGAAAAACAGACCATAGGAAGAAAATTTCTCCGACAAGGAAAGAAACTCTAAATGGAAAAATCACCACGCAGGGCACATGTGTCTGCTTTCTCCCAAGAACACTGTTGGTAGTTACTGGTTAGAGGGATACAGCATTTTCAGACAGAAGTTAACACGCTATTTTTCCAGAAATACCATGTTGTATACTAAGAATTGAGTGCATTAGCTTAAGTTATATCATTTTCAGGCACTCAGGCCTATTCCTGCTCTTACAACTCAGATGTATCATGTACAGTGTTCATAAAATTTATTTCTAATTCAAGAACTAATAACACCTTTTGTAATATGTAAAATCTTATTTCTTGTTTAAAATGTAGTAGTTAATCCTTTGATGTACAAAATTTTTAATAAAGATGTCTTACCATATTGTATTTAGTCTTTTTTGAGGTAGTTTATTAGCCACATTAGAGAGTTGAATTGTCAGCTACTGTGGGAGTCAGCAAAGCCCCATCGAGTTCTGTGGAGTCAGAATGACCTAGATCTCAGTCCACGCAGTATTAGTTCATGGAGGTCTAAAACACACAATTCCTTTGTAGAAGGACAAACGTATCACCTACTGAGTTTTAATAAGATTAAAAGAAAGGAAAAATATACCAACATATACACATTGATTGTTAGTCGCTGATTTACAGGAAGAGGCCTCTTTTCTACTTGAAACTCATTTTCTATAGAAAATATTTGTGAATAGTACATACATTATACACAAAAAACCTCTTGTGGTGCAGACCTACAGATTCATATTCATTATGTCAGTCACCCTCAGTGATTGCTTTCAGGGGATGTGCTCAAAGAAGCAACAAGCATGGTTGGAAGACTTGGCATCCAGAGGTCCTACACAGCAAGACGGCAAAAATTTGCTCCAGAATATAACTTGGACCAGGACACAACCACACTGGTTTAGGGTGACACATCCCCCCACACTCAGACAAATTGCAGAGCAGGACCCCATTATCCAATGATCATTCCTTCAGGCAGTTATTTGTGGCTTTAAAAAAATATTTCATCTGCCAAAAGGGTCAGAGCACGTGGTTGTAGCATAAGCCAGAAAATAGTGCTGGCGCTGGGTCGCATTTTCTTTGCCTGGGACCCCGGAGCTGCGGGGCAAGACCCCAGGTAGCCCTTCAGCCCTCTCTGCAGAGAGGAGCTCATCAATGCAAACCCAGTTGCTTTGTAGAGGGGTTTAATTGGTGTTTTCCATGGTGAAAACTCTGAAACAGAGAGCTCTGCTTGTAGGAAGCTCCTTCATTTCCCCAGAGGGATTCCCCCCCATTCATCATCACTACAAATCTGCTTGGTTTGAAAGGCAACTCCTCATCCTGCACATGTACTGAGCAAAATGCCTTCAACCTCCTCCTCCTCCCTGCAATTCTTGTGGCAAGCAGCACATGCTCACCTCCCTACTTAGTTTGTCAACTAACATATTCTCTCTATGCAGTCTGTCCTCACAAACAAGCTGTGCTGGCCCTCAAGCATCCCCCTCTACCCCCAGCATCATCGCTGTTCTTTTACTCCAACTTTTACTTTCACAAATTGTGTAATTCAGCATTGCCTGTTCCAAGAGACAATTGATTTTGTTGTTTCTAGGTTTAAAATGGGCAATTTTTTCTTGGTAGGTGGCCAGAGGAGGGTGAAGTGGTTTTGCCTCCTTCAGTCCTGGGACTTGCAGGGCACCAGGCTGGTCCTTGTAGTGAATTAAGTAGCCACAAATCATCCCCAACATCCCCAAGCTGCCAGGCTCTGCCCCAAGGATTTACTCTACCTTCATGCTCTACCAATATTTACACCAGTTTCATCACCAGCACTTTTAAATCTTCCTTTTAAATCTCTGCTTCTCTGATAATGACCCAAAATCGATCTTTAACTAAAGAGGAAAAAAATAACATTTATACACTTATCAAATGGCATGAACAGCAGAGGCAGTTGTAGCTCAAGCCACATTCAGCCCGCACGTTCCTCCACATCTCACTGTGCTCAGACTTGGCTTAACCCATTTTATTTTCTGATAAACTGTCCTGCCAACCACCCCGCTCCCTGTCTGTTTGCAATATTCAGGTCTGTATCAGACCACTTACACCCCAAACTAGCCAAGTCAGAGTTTATCGCACAGCTCAGGAGCACAGATCCAGCCGCTTGCCATTTTATCACTACAGGTTGGTTGAGACCTAAACACAGTTGCTGGGTGTGGGCACTGCTCTCCACGCATGACATTAATCACAGCACTTTCATGGAAGCGGGGAGATGAAATAACAGCAGCCCCTCCAAACCAAAACACAAGCAGGCGAGCAGAGCAAGCCAGGGACTACAGCAGGGCTGCGCAGAAATTGGAAGGGGGTGGTTGGTATTGTTTTGGATAGGGGTGCGGTATGTGATTAAGCACGAGTGTTCAAAAGCAGCCCATAATCAAAATGAAGATGGTTCAGAGCCTGAACAAGAAGAGATTTTATACACCATGCAGTGCCAGCAAACCTGCGTGCTGTTAGGAGGGAAACCCACAGGTTGATCCGATTCTCCAGGAAAGCAGGTTTTTGTATGTTCCTCACAAACAATACAGAGCTGCAGCAAATATGCAGCAAGAGTTTGAATAGCCACTTGGCCTAAAAGGGACACTGAAATCCCAAGAAATTATGAGAGCAAAGCATTTGCTCAGTTTTCGCTATATCCTACCAGCATGACAATTATCAATAACATGCTCCAGGAAAGATTCTCATATAAATCTCTGTCACTGTTGGAAAAGAATCAAAATCAGGATCACATGCAAAGTTTAATATCTTTGCAGAAATAGAAAACAGGGAGAGAAAAAAGTAAAAAAAGAAAAAATAGGGCTTTGAGTAAACAGAACTTAAGGAAGTAGAAATGTAAGTTCATTCACTTCCCCGAGACCACCTGAATACAGTGCAGTGGGATTATTTTGTTTGGAAGGCTCACAAATGCAAGTTTATTGTTGAACCCCGTTTCCATGACTGCAAAAAGTTGCTTATGTTTTGAATGATCATCCATGTTTCTAACTTTATAACTCTCCTATTAAAATATAGAACAGCTGCTGCCCCAGTCAGCTGTTCGGCATATGGAGCCCACCAGGGACAAAGCCCACTGTTAACACAGAGAATTATTTTTAACGCCCTCACATTTCTAAACCTCACCATCATCTCAGCAAAATGGCACGTTTCCACACTTCCCAGCTGGGGGAACACCTGCGTAATGCAAAACTGAACTGTGCTGCATCTGGTACAAAATCCAGTTATTTCATCTGGCCAGCAGAAAAAGTTATCAGCCCCAGTGAACAGAAACAGAGCAAAAAGTTAACTGTGTTTTATATCTGGGGAAAAGCAGATGTCCAGTTAAGATGTTTATACTGCAAACATTTCTGTATATATTAGGAGGAAAGAGAGCTGTTTAATAAAAATGGAGTTGGCTTCTAGTTGCCAAAGCAAATTTGAAGGACAGCACAACAGCTTTTGTCATTTTTGCATGGGAAAAAATACAGTCTGATTTTATATTGATATAGATTATGTACATTGAACAAGTAATTTTTTTAAAAGAGATGTCAAAGTTAACTCTTTTTAAAGCCTCCTGTTTATCACATATATTTACTCAGCAGAAAAAGCTGCAAACACTGTGTCACAACAATATGACAAAGTAGTATTAAAGGCTTCCCCTGATTTATTCTCTGCTATTTCAGAAAACCCCTTGATACTGGATTAGGGGCTGTGTGGCCAAGACACACGGCAATGCTTCCGGCAGATCAAAATACTGGACCCAGGTGAGCTCCAGGTTTTGTTCGTAAACACAATCACACTGCATCCATCACATGCAGTTTCTGCTCTCGCTTGAGAGAGAGATTATTTCGCTTTCCAATCCAGAATCCCAACAGTCCCAGAAGGGACCATATCTGCTCCCTCCCAGAAATACATCTGGATAATTAATATTTTTTAGTTTTAATATAATATTTCTGTAATTTCTACATAACCACATAGCACACACATATTCAAACAGGCGAAACATTCCCACTAACATGCTTCAGATCAGACCTTTGAAAATGAAAGGTGCCGCTCTCAGCTAAGCACTTCAGCAGCTTCTGCCCTGCAAACACAGACTCGGGTGCACTTTAACGCATAGCTTTAATGAAACTGTTTTTCCTCTCCCTCCCTCCAAAGATACCCTCTAAAGCCTCTGCAGTTCTGGATTACAAAAAACTCCCTATGCAAAGGCATGCACCGTCCCCATCCCTATACCTGATCAAGCATACAGAAAGGCTTTCAACTTCAGCAGCCTGCCAGCTGGGTTGACAAGAGTAACATATTTATGCTGTTAAACTCTGAAACCACAATCATGAAAGGTCTAAATCCTGACGATACCACTCCAGAAACATCTGAGCCTGTGACCATCTCCTCTTGAGGGTCACATTTTCTTCTTGCACTTGGAGTGTTTCTGGAGTATCTATGTGCAATATATAGGAATGTTTCCTATACAGAATATATACAACAAACACCCAAGTGGGAAGTCAAAAGAGCAAAATTCTTGCAGGCGGCATGGAAACTAGGAAAACAAACAGATTTTGGAAGCTCAGAGTAAGGGCTGCAGAGGGAAAGCCAACATACCAAAACAGCAGGGTAAAAGGCATTATTAAAATCAATAAGTCATCTTCTGAGAAGCTGAGGTTGTATATGAACGAGGAAAATAAAAATGTTCCTGAGATCTGGAAGGTCACACGTGAAAACAAACAAGGCAGGCCAAAGGATCAACTTGCAAATGCCTGGACTAGCAAATCAAGCCTCTTCAATCACAGCAGAGGCAACCTCCCAGGAGGCTGATGGGGCCAAGGAGTGACCCACACATTAGGGGAATGAGCTAAAAAGATACTGCCATGGCAAAAAAATTAAGTGAAACTTTCTATCATGTTCCTGGAGGAGGAATTTGGCAATAACACCATGCCAGAGCTGTTCTTACAGGCCAAGTATTAAAGGACCTGCCTCAAAGTAAGAAGTGGATAGCAAAAGTTGCTGTTCCCCCTCTTCTAATAATATCCAGTTATTCAGGTAAAGATGAGCATCCTCTGGAAAATGGAGCCTTTGCAGTGCTCCAAATATAGAGCAAAAAAAATGTCGAATAAAATCAAAGGGCATAAATGTAAAGTGATACACACCGGTAAAAAGTTATCCCAGCTTTATTTGAACAGCAAAGGCCTCTGAACTGACCGTCACCTCTCAGGAGGATAGTATCAAGGTTATGACAGACCATTCAAAGGAAGCCACAGCTCCAGAAAGCTAATCCAGCACCAGGAATAACTGGGGACAGAACAGGGAAAGAAGCTGAACAGTTACACAGTTGTGTAAATCCACTACATCTTGAACATCGCACGCAGTTTGGGTCC